AAAGCGCTATGCAAAGCGTCGCTCACTATCCATGCTTTGAAATCCTCGCAGGTACTTGTAGTTATACCGTGTTACAAGAATATTTGATCTGAGGTTCCAAGTTACAGTAGAAATATCCTTTATACTTGAATACAGCATTAGTGAGACTGCATATGGCAATGATCCATGGAAGACGCTGCATTCCTTGAAACGGCAAGCAATCGAATTGGCTCGTGAATTTTCATCGTCTTCTCAGGAATAGTTCTTATCTATTTTGATAGGATGATGGTGTCAATGAGTGGTAAAGTGACGAGGTTGATTCGGTGTGTTTTACTTACGAAGCGTCTACAGATCTGTTCCTTGCAACAAGCATATCTCACTCCGTGATAAGCCACGTATTCTCAGGATGTTATCTCTTCAAAGAAAGCTGCTACCTTACCATGCAGAAACCGAATTACTAGCATATTCTGAAAATGACTGGAACCTCCATGATTTCTCTGTCGTAGAACATCATTTAGCCATCACGTTTGTGTTATTACTTTCTCATTTAGATGCTTGGATAGCTTGTCTCCACTGGTTGTGAGGGCCCCTGCATAATTTCTACTGTATTCAGAGTTTTGTTGGTTTTGCCACTGTGGTTCCATGGAGTGCCGAGGTCAGCCAAGCCAAAATCTACTCCAGGTTCTCACCACCACAGGCAGTCACTACCCATGTAGATTAGGGAGAGATTTTCCACTATGCGATTAGTTTGATTCCAGGGCGGCGGTGGGCTCTGGTATTGGTTTATTCTTAGCCGGATTTCCTGATGGAAACGCCGGACACCTTCTCAGCTTGGATGGCTCTACTTGGGGGATGAATTATCCCATTGTGCATCGCTGCCCGACACCCAGGAACATATCCCAGCCACGATGAGGCGATAAACAGTTGAGAAGTGGGTACATAAGAGAAGACAAAAGGAGCACCTCATGTATAAAGCATTGAAACAATGTTTTCACATTGTGGAAATCTACGTATTTTCACATCGTAGAAATTTGTAACGGTTATAAATCCCACGACCGACTTTCTATTAACATCGGCATTGATCAGATAATTCTTTGTATTCTTGTTGAGCAAACGCGAGGTGTTATTTTATTCTTTATTCACGAACAAGCTGACGTTTCGGCCGATTTCGCTTTCCTCAGAGCCTGGAAAGGTCAAGTTGACAGCAACCTACCAGACCAAACACCTCCATAACCAGGAAAAACGCTAGATCAAGATTTCAATCGCATTGAACACAGAATAGCTTTTATGCACACTCACTGTTTTCTATGTTTTCCGCTGAGTATGTCGCGTGGAGACCATCTGTACAGAATTCACATGGAAGCGTAATGTGCCACTCCCATAAGAATAACAGTTGTATATACTGCCCAATATCACGCGTGATAATGAGGCATCCTTTCCTGCGGTCCATTTTCGGATATCTGCAAATAATCTAGAACGCCTCGAGAGTTTTGCGCGCTTCTGTTCTCGATTCCTGTGCGAGGATCGTAACCTGTGCTTCAAAGTCCCCCCCGTTATGTCTATGGATCCTGTGCGTGCCTAGTAGTGTATTCGGTTTAAGTTTACCGACTAGGTGTTTTTTTATACGGCACAGTGTGGTCTACCCGTTTCGCCAATGTATTGGTCCTCGCACGCCTTACAGGAGACCAGATAAACTATATCCGAACTCACGCAATCACCGTCTCTACCATTAAAGCAAATTAGGCAATTTTGCGTTTTCCACGGAAACATTTTTTAAACAAGAGCCCAATAATGAAGTTGATGTTAAATTTCGGATGCTTACGAATGAAACTTTCAAAGTCCATAATCACTATCGCGCGAAAAGATATAGCGCCAACCTCACTGAAATGCAAAGATGTGGTATGGGAGAGGTAAGAGAGCTGATAAGGTTGGAAAGCACAAGACTACCCGTTAATGATAAAAGTAGAGAGTTTATCGTAATTCCCCATCAGTTAGATGTTGAGATAACGAGAAAGCATCTTGAAGATGCTTCACTTTATCGTCCATCATCTGAGAGGGAGTTCAAAAGTAGATGCCGAAAACTGAATCACGAATGAGTCAAAATGGCAAGAGCGGCTGGGTTAAAACCATCAGTTATCTCTCAACTCAAAGTTGACTTACCAACATGTCCCATCCTACACTTATCAAAACCAATAAGTTGGCATCCAGTGATGTCAGACCAATCATTAGCTGTATAGACGGACCAACGGATAGGATAACATGGCTTTTAACCCTAATATTTACCCAATTGTTAAAACACATTCCAGTCCACCTCACAAATAGCCAGATGTTTCTGGAGCGTCTACGTACTGCGCGTCCCAACAGCGCGTACGTGATGGAGTCCTTCGACGTTACCGCGCTGTACACCAACGAATGACTCCGCAATGCAAGCCATCTTTGAACTTCTTGTTGAACATGAAATAAGAATAAAAATGCGTGGTTTGTCTACCCAGCAGCTTATGGCTACCTTAAAAAAGTGCCTAAACTGCTCGATTTTCAGATGGTCCGGAAAGTATTACTCTCAAATGAGAGGGTTGGCAATGGGACAGGAAGTGGCACCAAGCCTTGTCATTGCATTTATGTCTAAGGTGGAAGCACCAGTAATTAACCTCGGGCTGTTACTCCACTGTAGATATATAGATGACTGTTTTGTCATTTGCTTAACAAAAGAGGAAATGGACAAATGTTTTTATTGAATGAACAGTCAGAGTATATTAAGTTCACCTGAGAGAAACCGAAGGAAAACTGGCTTCCATTTCTGAACGTGCAAATTAACCTATCAGAAAACGGCTACATTATGAAATAGTATCGAAAGCCATGTAGTAAATACATCTTGGTTCATTACCTCTCCTCTCACCCTTCACACACAAAAGGGCGCTTGTAAGAAACATGTTTCGAATAGCAACCAACGTGTGCACGGGAAGAGAGCGGAGAGAGGAGTCCCAGAACATGGTACAGCAAATAGCCATTTCGAACGGCTACGAAACTGTAGCTCGGGATGTTGGGACGGCTCGTTGACATAGGAATACGAAGTAGTTGAGAAGATTCGGTCGGAATTAGCTGCTCACCTTTGTCTGTGCCACGCGTGAATTCTTGCGAATAGCAGTCACAATGCCAGGCACCTCAAAATTTGGTAATTAAACCGTTTATCATAATTATACAACAATTATGGTATAACAATACAACTGCACAATTAATACAACAATGGAGCAGCCTGATCACTGGTGTTCAGATCGGGCACGAATGAAGAGGTCGTCATATGACTGACATATGACGTCATATGACATACTACATGAGATAGATATGAGGAAAGGACATGGCTACTTGAGCAGCATTACTGTGAACTCAGCGAGTTAACCGTGGAGCCGTTTATATACCCTTTGTGCCGGGCCGACTCAGGCTACAGTAGGCAGAAAGACGGTTTGCCACTAAGGGGTGCTGGAAACATTTCTCAAACATTGCAATCTGATAAGGCGATAGTCAAAGCATAGGACTGTAACTGCAGATATTTTTCATGACATAACCGCCAACGAAATGTTAGACATAAGGTTATCGGATCGCCATCGGAAACAGTATTCGAAATGTTTGATATAAGGTTATCAGATCGCCATAGGAATAAGGTCACCGGAAACAGTATTCGGAATGTTTCACATAGAGAACATTCCAATGTTTGTGAAGAATGTTCTCTATACGGGATAGGTGTAGGAAAAATCTTAGGCCCTGAAACGATAACTCTAACGACAAAAAGGTCCCGTTTATCCTACCCTTCATCTCAAATGATGTAAGTGCAGCTATAAAACGCTTGAGAAGGGCGGGTCTAGAGAATTCGGTAATCGTAGTTGAAGCGCCACCGAGTAATCTTAGGCGCCAGCTAGTTCGTAACCGCCTATATGACCGTCTATGTGCAACACAAAATTCCATAATTTACCCTGATGGTAGAGACGGTGATTGCGTGAGTTCGGGTATGGTTTATCTCATCTCCTGTAAGGCGTGCGGGGACGATGCCTCATTATCACGCGTGATATTGGACAGTATATAAAGCTGTTATTCTAATGGGAGGGGCACATTACGCTTCCATGTGAATTCTGTGCGGTTGATCTTCAAGCGACATACTCAGTGGAAGCCCCATAGAAAGCGGAGATTGTGCAAAGCTGTGTTCAATGTGATTTAAATCTTGGTTTAGCGTTTTCTGTGTTTGGTTATGGAGGTGTTTGGTCGGTTAGATTGCTGTCAACTTGACCTTTCCAGGTTCTGAGAAAGGTGAAATCCGCCGAAACGTCAGCTTGTTCGTGAATAAAGTGTGAAATAACACCTCGCGTTTGCTCAACAAAAATATAAAGAATTATGTAACGATAATGTTTTTTTTCTACTACAACACATGAGATCGATCCCCGCTCCCAACGCTCACCTTCCATCTCTCTGGGCTTGGCAAATTGGTACCAGACTTGTCAGGGGAGCAGCATTGTCTCGATTCATCTGTAGATCAGCGATAATCATTGTAATGGGCAGATATGCATTCGCTCACCTTTAGTGATGCTTAACGAAGTCGAATGCGTGGTACATCCCTTAAAGTTGATCAATGCCTAGAGCTTTGTCATTTATTATTTTCATTTTTTTTTTGCTTTTACTTACTGTTTGTTCCTTTTTCTTAGCAGACTACGATATTAAATACAACCAAAAGGAAGCTAAGGTATTAGTAAAACTCTGGGCCTCATGTGGCCTTCTGGGTTCAATGCCGATTTGTGCTTATATTATTTTTCTTAAAAGTCAATTCCTGATAACATCGAATAAAAACAAGGCCAAATGAAAGACAAAGCCAGTGCTTCTCTTTGTGTGGTGGGTACCACGCGAGCTTCTCGAAAAGGTCTTTGTGGGTTCGAGGTCCAAATGGGGTACCAAGTTTTGAGGTTCTCTCAGCTTTATTATGGCTGTATCACAATTATATATGCTCACCTGCTTGCTAGAGTTAACATCCTGACATTTCAGTTCGAATAAACTACTTCGTCGACCTCCAATTCTACACAGACTGGATTTGTTTCAATACCGGTATCTGCTACAATTCCTATAACTTCACTTGGATGATCTAGAATCAAACGGTAGCACCAAAGTTTGGAATCTCTGCTAGGCTGCTATCACATAAGGATATTAATAAAGGTTGATATCCTATCACAATGATATTTCTAGGAGTTTGTCCAATACTGAAGAAGGAAAACAATGAACGCCACAGTAACCATAAATGAAGAGTGAGAAATTTTGTTATAAATAAAGCATCCATGATTTTTTAGTAAACCTGATCAGTGCTTGACAGATGCTGAACGTCTCATCAGTCTCTTACAACTTAACAGAGTGCTGAAAACGCGACATCTCTGAAAAGCCACTTCTATTTAACCCCGTCATAAATAATCAACGCTTTCTTGGATTGCTGAGTTCACACGAAGTTGATATAAAATATTTATTCGGCTAGCGCTTCGGTGTCTTCGCCTTCTTCAGAGGATTCAACATCTTAGAAGTTTTGAAGAAGTCGGTTTTCAGAGATGTATTACTACTCTATGTGCCAGTATACCATCGAATTCCGCAGGATACTGTGCCAGCAAAATTGCAGCTCGTATTGGATGGTGGCAATAGATCAACATCCGTCCTGAATAAGAAAGAACTGTCGAGTGTCATTCTCCATTCGATCGATGCTCTGCTCTATCGAATAGATTCGATGCGACAACGAACATCTCACAAAGCTCACAAAGACGTAGAAGCATTGGCCGAAAAATATTTGGTACAAACCTCGTGTGAGTTCAACAATCCAAGAAAGTACAATGAAGTAATCGTTTAATCTGACTTCTACCAGAAAGAAACAAGGAAAATAAAATCATCTGATGCTCTGATCGCGTATTATGCTCACACCAGGTGAACGATTTTTTCAAATACCAAAATAACACGGAAACCCAATGACAATAGCCCTCGTGTAGGAAACAGTAGTTGTGATGTCATTTATTATGTCCAACGCATTGCTTCTACAAACGCAGTGGACCAACAAAACCATCCCTATTTTAGGGTCGGGAGATCAGCACCGAATTTGTACGCTAGGACCCACACAGTGTATGATGTTGAATCGTGTAAAATAGAAAGATGCCATAACTGTGAATGGGCAAAGGATATAATTTCTTATCATATTATCAAGAGAGAGGCCTATGTTATCCCATGGCCCAAGAACTAGATACCTCCTCTAGTTCTTGGGCCATGGGATAACATAGGCCCACTGCCTAATTCTTTTACTATGTCACGTTAAATAAAGTTGATCGGCTGCGCCATCGAGATTTCTTTTTACCTCCGCTCTCTTGCACGAAGTAGATTTCACACCGATATATAATGGTTACGTGCTTACACATTAATCTAAGTCCACAAGCAAGGTCCACGGTCATTCTGTGATGATTACAGCTTTTCGCAAAATCTTGTTAAGCGAAGATCTTCCAGAAATTCTTCGTATTTTTTTGACATTATGTGGATAAAATCCCTCTTGATCGAAGTCTAACAGTTTGTGAGGCATACTATTGTTCTAGACGTTGCTACACTTACTCATAGACTTCTTCATTTTCACCAAAACAAAAACACTTGATGTAGAAAAGTACTCATCCCTAAAAACCTTCATTGGCTTAATACTATTGGCAGCAATGTCTTGAGATATTTTATTCTGAAAGACCTACTACATACGATTCCGTTAACCTTTGTAGGTACATCTGGTTTCAAAGCTATTATTATAAGTGGTTCCAGAAGACAATACATTTACAAGGGTTAAGGACATATTAAAGTGTAACAACAAATAATCGGACTGATCATAGTAGATTACCTTTAACAACGAATAGTACCGATGGTAGTGAACAAATTTCGATTCAAATGACTTATTTCCAAAGCCAAACGAATGCAAAGGCACGATGTCAGAAGGCATCCACGGAGATAATTTTGGCTGCATAGTTTGACTATGATTTCTGCAACTGTAGGAGAATTGGAATCTCACACATTCTTTCGCAACCTACGTTGGTCTTGGTGATTCCTGATTCGCTATTAGAGAATCTGTACAAGTAGTCTATACTGGACAGTCCAGAACACGTTTTCAAATAAAATTAATGAATTCAATTCACACCTTTTTTGCTGCGTTCCCGTTCAAGCATTACCTTGTTATAGACAGACGTCTTTCAAAACGTCTCAAAAAAATCTACAGTACCTTCTGGAAAGCACTTAAAGTTGTTCTGTTATCAAAGTTACAGGGTGCCTGAAGCCGCATCATCGAGCCGTTTGTGCGCTAAATTTACTTCTCAATCACAGTGCATAAAAGGATAAAGGATAAAGATCTCTGCGTTCATCAATCGCTGACGGATACGCCATGCATTCGAATTCATTAAGCATCGTTTGAAGGTGATCGAACGCATATCTAGCCTTTACAATGACTAGAGGTGGCCTACGGATGTGTCGAACCAGTGCTGCTATCCTCCCAGACAAGTCTGGTACCAATCTGCCGACCCCAGAGGGATGGAAGGCATGGTGGGCCATGGACGCGGTGATCCATTGCCATAAGCGCCACTACAGAGTGCGTAGTACATGAATATCGAGGTCTGACTAAGCGACATAGTGCTATTTATGCCGGCCATCGATAATTTTTCCCTCAATATTCGATAATCATCGTCTACAGTTAGTTAGCTGTTCTGATATTACCCTTAGTCGAGTAAACACAATGATGAAAATAATCATCTGCTTTTTAAGTAGGCAATGCATTGTGTTACGGCCAGTGGTTCTTTTGCTGGCACGTGGCGTGGTTATGCTTTAAAAGCCGAATTTCGTTAAACCTCAGTTTAAAAAGTTCATGTTGAATCGATCAACACATGTTTTGTATGAAAGCGCACCGCTCGACGACGTTCTCATTCGAGCTGCGATTCCTTTACTAGATTCGGCCCGATGCGACAACGAAGACACACATCGTGACAACTGTACTGTTTACCATTGACTCGGACCAGCGCAGCTCCGTAGAAGGCGAAGGCAACCTCGTGCCAGCTCAATCATGTAAAAAGCTAGTGATTAAGAGTTGTTGTTTTAGACGTGGAAAGTACGCGAAGCAATTGTTAACAAATGCGGATTGAACGATTCCCTTGGAAATGGCCATTTATTACACAATAGACGAAATTATGACAATTCCCATGACCGACTTCCTGTTAACCTCGGCATTGATTGATAATTCGATGTTTTTCTTCAATAAGCAGACACAAGGTTGTTATTACAAAATTTATTAGGATACAATAGCTGACGTTTCGGCAGTTTCGCCTTCTCCAGAGCCGCTTCTTCGCCCACGTATTACTCCATGTGGCTGCTATCCATCAACTAACTTAAATACTTACAGTAAATAAACGGCTCTGAAAAAGGAGAAACCGACGAAACGTCAGCTATTGTATCCTAATAAATTCTATGATAACAACCTCGTGTCTGATTATTGAAGAAAAGCATTGAAATTATGACACTTCGGGACGAATGCACCATGGCGAGGTTGGACTATCGAATCTAGAGAAGCAGGTTCCATGAACTATTTCTAGGCTGTTGTTTTACCTATTTTTTCATAGAATACCATTTGCATATCTTTCAGGATATCTTCCACTCTCCATTCTCCACTTTTGCTTTCGTGTCTCCGTCGATCGGAACTTAAAGCAGTTGGTAACTTGGCATCCACAGAGTTCCCCTCTTCAATCGCTACAGTGTCGAAAACGATAAGCGCTGAAAATGAACAATTCTAAACTGTAACGGTGAATAGATTGCATTTTGTTAAATACACCCTACATAGGCTTCATCACTATAGGGTGAGCACATATCCAGTTATAGTGGGATTGCCACCAGTCTGCACCAAAATTCTACAGGTGTCCTCTTAAGCAAAATTTGAACAACTCATTTGTTCGATGTAGAATATACAGGAGAAAAAATCTGTACACCTAAACGGAACGAGAATTCGTGAATACACAAACTTTTCAGACCTATGTATTCCACTACTGTTATCCCTGAAAACCACGACCAGCAGCCTAATCTTGTTTAACCTGTGTTTTCGGCCGCAAATTGAATTGTATCCTAAGTGAAAGTTAGTCAACAGTCTTTGGAACACCACTTCTATCATAACATGGACTGCAATATGATGGCAAATAAGAGTGGCGTGCAACAGTTTAGCAAAATAGTCTACCCATGTGTGCCTAACCGTCATCGTACATTGGTAGTTATGACACATTACATTCTTAGGACTCACCGGTGATTAAATCGCCAGCAGTTCCATCTCCAACACACAATTTGCCTTCTCCAAACTCTACGATAAAATGCGTGGGAATTTCTATATTATCTTTCACATCTCTAAAATCTTCGCTGTCACTCTAGATGAATAATTGATTGAGACCGAGTCATGTCTGACAGGGCTCAACGCTATAATATTTAACCACAATGATGCTGAGATATTTTTGAAACTCCGGACGTGCCGGGCTCTGAAGTGGGGATCGAACACCCTACAACCCTTTCCGGAGAATGACGCGTTCTTCACCACACCATGCGTTCGTCTCGCCTTTCTCTCAGTTAGTTTTCTATGTACCAGTGTCATCACCAATCACCCGTTTATAGTATTTAATTTTTGACCACTCAATGAATCCAAAACGATAACGAAGTTTGTTACAAGTGGGAAAGTTATTGCGTCAAGGTAGTGTTCGGCCGCCGCCAATATCCTCAATAATGGAAACCTGTATTAACTAACCAAATCTTTGATAACCCAAGTGGTTTTCTCATCAGTATATATAAATTATTTGAGTTCTGCTCTTTCTATCTTGCGTGTTTTTTTAGAAGCATTTCTTCCTGGGAATTCACCAAAGTTATAGAACTAAATTTACTTGTCATGCTCATCCCTCACTCCAGTGTTCCTCGTTTCCCAGTGACGATAATTTTAGGGCCTACTCTCCTTTTCGTGTTTGCTGTGAATATGAGTCTGATTGATTTCAAACATGGACGCTAGCATTTGACATGTTCGTTTTAGTCCTTGAAAAAGCCATCGACGATAATAGCTTTCGGACAGATTGACGAACAGTAACCTAAATGAGTTCAATAGAAGAAATCACCTCTCTTCTCCTCTTGCACAAATTTAACCATTTCTAACATCGTCTAGAAAGCCACTTCTTTTCTTCAAAATGATTACAACAACTGTATGGAAAATTTGAGATGAAACACAAGAGTGACCTGCTTTTCGCGATACTTTTTAGATGTCTATGTTCATATTACTGACTTTTCTACCAATGACTCTGCCCGATAACATCACGGCCGAGGAGAACGAGTATTTGAGGCAACACTGTGGTGATCGCTTTCTAAGTGAGTAAGGGAAACGTTTATCCCAGGAAAGATGGGAAACTGAAGGAATAATGAAGCTAGTGGGTGAGTGGATTGACGAGCGACGAACACAATATACCTTTACTGTTACGGCGACTTCTCAAGCAGTCGATTTCTTTTGTCTAGTTACTCTTTGATAGAATTCTCCTGTGCTCAAAGGATAAAAACCACCACTTTTACATTACTCGACAACTACTGAAAAATACTTCGAAAACCAATGGTAAAAAAATAGTGAACAATATGATTTGGAATAAAAGTGAAATTTTCTAAGTTCCCTAACTTTCCTATTAACTTGGAGAAACGACTATTGACCCGTTCACTACTGTGGGAAATTTAGCATTCCAGACCAAATAGACCCAGTGACGAATTAGCGCAATCGAAATGAGCATTGAAAACAGGATGTACGGTCTGTGTACTCGCTCAAGGAACAGAGGGCACTGGTTTCTAGAAATTACCGTTCCATCGTTTGCTTTCCTAAATATCTTCCGTGTTCCTCTAACTTCAACGCATCCACAACATTCTTCTTCATATGTTCCCACATTGTTGGAGACTAATTGTGTGTGATGAAAAATATCGTCAATTATTTAACCAAGGTGTTATTAGCACTTCACATGGTTCGGCAAGATATTTTAGATGTATTTATGTGCCTTTTCCAAGTTTTTTATATCCACAAATTCCACTTCACCGTCTGGAAACGGCTCTTCTCAATTATAGCACATTGAAAATACTTTCCAATGGATTGGTTCTAATATAAGACCTGTGTTCGACAAGCTATCGACTGCCTGCTAAAAGCCTGGAATAAATCTTTTGCGCCAAAAAATAGCCTAGAAAAATGAGAGCGCCTTGAAATCAACACGTGCATTTCGAACCGTGCAGCAATGTACGTACCGAAATCTATGCGCATGGTTGCGAAAACGTTAGTTAACCTCGGCATTAGTAACCAATTCATTTTTTCTCACGAACTTTGGAGGAGTTGACACGATGTTCTTAATACTCACTTTTGAATTTCCACTAGAGCGTTTTGCCGCCTTCACGTTCTTCAAGGCTTAAACGTATTGTTACATAGCTTTAACCTTACGATTCGCTCAATATTCTGCAGTCTTAACAAAAAGCTTCCGCGCAAACCACAGCATAATCCGTTGAGAAGCATTCATCGCTTTCGTTGTTAACTAATGAGACCACGTCTGTGTTCCTCGAATAGGATAATGAACAAAATTCACTCATTGTTGTTGTTGTCTTTGTTTAACAATGGCCGTCGTTTCGATGACTTCGCCTTCCTCAGTGCCTTGTCGTTGGTCCACCCGTCCGTGTGTTGTTCGCGAGGGATGATGAGTAATAATGAATCATTCAAGGCTCTAAGAAATTCACTCAGATTAAAAAAATGCCTTAACTCGCAGTGGTGATGTTGTTCAATACGCGTAGGAACCGCGTTGAGGTAATCAAACCCTTCACCTCTCTGGGGTCAAAAAACTGTTATCAGAGTGGCCTTAGATCAGAGCTGATACAAAGTAACAACTCGAATGCAAAAACGCCTGAGATTCTCGCGATATATTTGGTGTTGACTTATTTGGAATAAAGAAATGAGATAAGGAGCTAAACCACGATTGATAATGCGATATCCGCTTCGTCTATTCATTTTCGGGTTTTGGAAATTAATCCAAAATTCCTCAAGAATTTTGCGATGTGAATCCGACATTGCAGTGGATTCCCTAGCTGGTTCAGCAGAAAATGAATTAACTGGATGAAAACAAACTCTCGTTTTATCATAAATCGCTTGTGGGCTTCGCATGGCTTGTAGTAAAAAAAAAGACTTCAAATTTGGGTAATAGATCCTACATGTAAATGTAACTACAAGATAGCGATCATAACAACGTACTGCGCGCGAGGCTTCAATATATCGGCGATACAAGACGATAAGCAGGTGCTGTTGACATTAATCCAGCCTCTGGTAAGCAAAAGTGGAATGGGCCGGAACTGTGATAGCGACGACAGAATATAACTCGATACCGACTCAATACCAACTGAAGGCAGATCTTGCTGCAATAGACGTGACTATTCCTAGCAAGAGTTTTTGCGGCTGTCGAAATGTTGAGATGAAGAGGAACTACAAAAATTTTCCATCCAGCTGTCAGGGAGAAACGTAATCCAACTATGACAACTCATTTCTTAGATAGAAATATGACTATAAAGTCAAGGACAAAATTATGCAGACAACACAAAAACATGTAATGTTATTAAACTATTATGCTTTTAATGCTACTAAGAGATGAATAATATTTATCTTCGACATACGAAGCAGTCCTTATACTTGGAGCGCTTATATATTTTTGCTCGACTGTATAAGAATTAATACAATTAAAGCACGAAAAACACATCGTTTCGCTTCATGAGTTCAATCTTGAACATAAAGCAATCAGAGTCACTCTGACGTGGATAAGGAGAAGGCTTAAAAATGCGCAATGTGTAGGTGATTGATAAGGGTTTGTAATCGGGTTATGATTCTATATGCAGGAAGAAGTCATCGGCATCTATCAGTACTTGACGATGATCATCTAAATTAAGTTGCAGAAGTTGCAACTAAAAACGTTTTGAGGACTTCCAGAAAACCTCAACATCTACCATTCAGCAGTTGATCACCATTTCAAAGTAACTAGAAGATTGAAAAACTCGCTTGAATGGATGCCACTTGAAATGAAAGAATGGCTGAGTGATCATCGACACGATGGCAGCTATGAGCTTCCTTCACACAACAAAAGTGGCCCACCCGTCTATCGTGATGGTAAAGAGTGTCCTCTAAATGAAAGCAGACAGTATTCTGGAAATGTCTTTAAACTAGATAAGGTTGCACTTTCTCGAGAGTCTGCCAAAGTAGTTGCGAAGAATTTCTCGCTCGCACCACAGGTAGTGCTGTGATGGAAAGTCTTGAGTTTTGGCAAAATGACGACAGAGAAAAAGTGTTAACACAAAATCGCTGTTAACTTTTCTTATTCTCTGCCTATTACAATTTTTCACGGCAGCGTATTATGTGTGATACAACCACAATGATGCCGAGATATTTTCAAAACTCCAGACCGCAGGCGTCTGTCCTGGGTAACGAACGCGCTATTACTCTTTCCGGAGGCTAACGCGTTCAACACCACACAATGCGGGTTATTCGTTTCGCCTTCTCTCAGCTAGTTATGTCGATAGTGTCATCAGTAACCACCCGCCAACAGAATTGATTTGGGAAGCCCAAATCGGCATTGAACCCAGTTAAGCTGAGGCTATAGTTATAATCACAATCGCAACTTTTTATTTACTGCCTATTCTTTTTAATGGCAGGGTATGTTGCGAAATATAACTTCTATAGTCTGTGCACATTAGAACTGGAGAAACTGGAAGATTTGGTCTACGAAATATATCTTCGCAAAGTCTTCTAACCATTGCAAGACCTACTAAGAGGAAAATCAGCAAAGATCATGCCACTTCTAATGATCACCCTTTTCATCTGCCATCTCGTTGACGATCAAGCGACCCTAGCGAGCGCTGGAAAACCTTCCATTTTTCCTGTAGCGAGCAAAAATAGGCCTGAGGATTCTGCTTGCTCTATAGCCTCGATCAACATTACACATTCCTTGCAAAGTTTTCGTAAAAACTGTAACCCTTGGGTCGGTGGCTTTGGCTTTCGCTTAGGCTTTCCTGACTTCGATTTGCCATATCGAGATATTCAGTGCCACAGCTCTTGCCAATCGGTTGACCTACAGACGCATTACATGTCTGGCCTACCTTATCTTCGAAAGGTTGGCGTAAAGAACGTCATCTTTGACTTCTAGGGCCTTCAAATCTCTCTCTCTCTGTCTCACTTACGTGGCTGATACGGATACTCCAAGCATCGCCCTTTCGACTGCGTGTTCTATAATACCGAATGGTCCTACAATTCACGACGACTTCTCGAATTAGATATACGTAGCTGGAGCATTCAGAGACATTCATTCTGTTGAGCGCAAATAAAGGGTGCAAAAACAATCAGTCTTTCGTGAACATCATTTCTGAGAGATTTATGCCAAGATCGATCTTTCAATAACTGTTATCAGAGTCGGCAAGCATTGGTTCCGCTTGGCTGATGTTCGGTGTTATAAGAAGGATGTCATCAGCAAGGCAAAGATAGTATATTTGCTGACTAGAAGGTTTAGGCAGAACGGTACCTTCCTGCCTAAACCTCCTTTTGACGACGATGTTATTATCGTAGGACAGTGATATCTTGGTCGGAAAATTTTGATGTAACTCTCGAGGAATCTTTGCATACTGAGTAGGGATTCGCTGTCTACACTGTGTTTCCATGACGGCTTCTATCTCAAAGGAGTAAAAAATTTCCCTGTGTCAATGAAAATGACACAAAGTGGCTTTCTATGTTCTCACGATACTTCAATGAATCTTGTTATCGTGACTATGTTGTCCAACATACTGAATCCTTCTCGAAAGCCTGCTTTCTTACACGGCTGTCTTTCGCTCACTGCTTCTCCCAAGCCTGTCTAGAATGATTCGAGTGAAGAGCCTTGGGGCAACACACAGCAGTCAGATTGAGCGATATTCGCCGATATCGTGGAGTTCACATTTTTTTGGAAAATAACAAGTCCTTGTTGGTTTGTTATCGAATGGGAACCCCGTATTCTGCCAAGTAGCGTGAGAAGAGCAGAACCAGCGTGTTTATGGCGACTGGCAGAAGGATACGATGTAAGTGTTCTGGTTTTGCCATGTCAGGTCCGGGTGTTGCTCGATTCTTTATCGGCGAAATATCATGTTAGATTTCGGAATGGAAACCTGGTGGGACGTTACATTCATCACCTTATATTTCATACGAAAGAAGGAGGTCGTGGCTGTTGAAGAGATTCGAGTAGTAACCGTGACAGATTTTCCTCACTGTCCTTCTGGAAGGTGTACCTGTTTCTCGTGTGCGTAGGAATAGAACCACCTTGGTTTTGTAATTAGCAATGTTTCGGTGGGTTGCGAATGGCTTGCTGAAGATTTGGCCTTAACTACTAATATCTTTTTAAGATCTTCTTTTTATCGTATTTATGGATTGTGTTGCAATGCTGGAAGTCAGCGAGCGGTTGTCTATGACTCGCACGATTCCACGCTAGCGTATTTGTTCGAGTGTTTCTGGAAACAGACGTTTCTTGGTGACTTTCGTACTCTAAGCTTTCCCAGCGCTAACGCGAAGATCTTGAATTAGCCGATCGTAATGATTGCTGATGTTATCATGAACAACATCTTCCCAACAGCAAACTAATTAACTGATTTATATTTTATTTTTATATTTTATTTTTTATTTTATTTTATATTTTATATTTTAATTTTTTTATACCGAATAATTTACAGTTTATGGTAGCTTCTAGACCCCGTTTTTCGAATTTGGAGACCTTTTCTCCTTTTCGAAATGAAAAATGCACCATACGTTTTGCAACGATCCTTAATTGGCTAATGAATGCGAAAATGAGTTTGTTGCGTTACTAATCCATCTGCATCAGCTCATTCTTCTTCTCTTCAATGACTAAATAATTTTTGCTCGTCCCGAGAGGGTCGGACTGCGATTCGTAAATGGAGATGTCATCCCGAAATAATATGTCCCAAATATACGTAAGATTCCTTTTTTTTTCTTCTTTTCACAAAACCTTTATCTATTCTCTACACGTTCTGTCACATTCAGTTTTAAATATTCCGTGCTAGATCCTGAGTTTTTTACACTCTTCGTCGGCAGCGACTGTACGAACCCGAACCTACGCTGGAAAAATCGCACGAACTACTCGGTCGCTCTGGTGGGTAAGATGGGAATTTCACGGCCGAAGGAATCACATACAGCGCAATTCCCAAGTGCACTGATCTTTCCCCAGGTGATGGTCTCATTTTTAAGTTGAATAAGCAAACTGCCACGACCGACTTTCTATTAACCTCGGCATTGATCAAGTGATTTTCTTCGTATTTTTGTTGAGCAAACACGAGGTGTTACTATTCTTTGTTCACGATTAAGCTGACGTTNAAGCAGCTCTGAAGAAGGCGAAATTCGCCAAAACGTCAGCTTAATCGTGAACAAAGAATAGTAACACCTCGCGTTTGCTCAACAAAAATACGAAGAAAATGAATAAGCAAAGTTGTCACCTATCACCTGCCTTTCTGTTGTTCCATTGATCGTCGAGCGACACGAGCGGGCGCCAGTAAATCTTCCATTTTCCCTGTCGCGTGCAAGAGTAGCCCAGTGGGTTCTGCTCGCTCTACGAATTAGTCGATCATAATATCTTTCTTCAAGGCTCTTTGTGAAGAAGTCTGACCATCAGGTCGGTGGTCTTCCTGCAGTACGTTTGACATCCCGAGGAATCCAGTCACTAACGCCTCTTGTCCATCGGCTGTCATTCATACGCATTACGTGTCAGGCCCACCTTATCTTCGACTGTTTGGGGTACAGAACGGCATCTTTGATCTTTGATCGTTGACGCAGGCCGAAGCCTCGGATCCCATCACTTATTTGTGCGAAACAGGACACTCTCAGCATCGTTCCTTCAACTGCGCGTTGGAAAACGCAGAGTTATCTTTCATCCTGCTTACGCAACGACCAAGTTTCTGACGCATACGTTAGGGAAGGAATCACCGTTGAGTCGAACAGGTGGGCATAGAGTCGGGTGTTCTTTGTCCTCATCACTACATCCTCGACGCTCTTGAAAGCTCTCCAAGCCGCTCGTTTTCTTCTGCTCAACCTCAACTCTGGAGCTGGGTCGTTCATTATACTGATTTCACGACCTAGATAGATATAACAGGAGTATTCGAAAATATTCGTTCCGTTGAGCATGAATGGGGCATGCGAAACCAATCCGTTCTTCATGAACACCGTTTTTGTAAGATTTAGTCGAAGACCAATCTTTTCATAGGCTTTATCAAAGCCGGCAAGCATACGTTCGGCTTGGTTAATGTTTGGTGTTACAAGGACGAATTCACCAGCAAAGTGAAGATGATGTAACTGCCGACCATCGAGTTTCACTCCCATATTATCCCATTCCAATGCTTGCATGACGTTCTGGAGCGTGGCGGTAAATAATTTTGGCGAGATAGTATCGCCTTGTCTAACTCCCCTTTTGACGTCAATATTAATATCGTTGTAGAGTGGTGATATCTTGGTTGTGAAATTTTTATACAGCTCACGAAGAATCTTTATGTACTGAGTAGGGACTCCGTGACTACCAAGGGCTTCCAAGACTGCTTCTATCTCAACCGAATCGAAGGCCGTCTGTAAATCGATGAAAGTGAAACAGAGCGGTCTTTTGTACTCTTGCGATACTTCAGTGAGCCGTGTTACCGTGTGGATGTGGTCCATCCTACTAAATCCTCTTCGAGACCCTGCTTGCTCACATGGCTGCCCTTCGTATAGTGTTCTGTCAAACCTGTTTAGGATGACTCGAGTGAAAAGTTTGTAGACGACAGACAGTAAGCAGATTGGGCGATAGTTGCCGATATCGTGCAGGTCACACTTCTTGAACAATAACACGGTCTTGGTAATCTTCAACTGAGTAGGGACCTTGCATTCAGACAGGTAACATGTGAAGAACTGAGCAAGTGTGTTTACGAGGACTGGCGATAGGTTCTTCAGGTGTTCTGGTCTTATCCCGTCCGGACCTGGTGCTCTTCGACTTTTCATCGACGAAATGGCATGTCGGACTCCCACGTCCAGCGCTGACTGTGGGGCTTCTGGAATTGCTAGTTACCTTGGATCGTCTTGGTCGCCATGATAAACTCAGATAGCCGCTCACCCTGTTCGTTCCATTCTAATCCGTGGGTCCCAATGTGACGTTCTTCAAACGTTCTTTTTGGTCCAATCTTGGCGTTGAAATCTCCAATTATGACCTTGAAGAATGTGTAATCCTCTCTGTAGAACTTCTCCAAGTTCATATAAAACGCTTCGACTTCTTCTTCGTCATAGTTTGATGTCGGCGCGTAAACGACGAAGATTGTCAAAGCCGGAATTGATCCACGCCTTCTTAATCGTAAACGTCCGATTCGGGTTGTAAGTTGTTCGAATGAATCAATGTTCACGGACAAACTCGTGTTTAAGAAAGCGCCGACTCCGCCGACTCCTCTACTGTCACATGTTCCGAAGAACGGTGTTATAGACGGCGTTGAAAGGCTGGCGTCTTCTCGTCTCGGCCAGGCCGATGACGTAGTACCTTATCTTTCTTGCTTGCATGAGCAAGTCTTCTATCGAGGACTCGGATGCAAGTGTACGCGCGTTGTAGGTAGCGATCGTCACCATAGTTGTTTGAAATAAAGTAAAGTTGATGTGGAAAAATAGCAAAAGGTTAGAAACACTTGTGATAGAGAGTAAGAAAACAAACAATAGAAAAAGAAACGCCATTCTCTCTCACTTTCTACGTTTTCAAACTCCAGCTTTTAGGCAGGCCACGCTAAAACTATCCTTCACACTTAAACGTAGTACGAATGAGACAGCATGTTACTGCGACCCATGAAAGCCGTGTAATGCATTCCTTGAAGTGGCAGGCGTGCGAATTGGTTCACGACTCTTCATCATCTTTCTAACCATAGTTCACATTTCCTGTGATAGATAGAACGAGTTGCAGAGTGGTGTAATGTCTTCAATTCGGTGTGTATGGTTGACAAAGTGTCCCCAGATCTGTTCCTTGTGACAAGCATATCTCACCCCATGAGCGGACAAAGACGCGCGATTTTTCGAGAGTTTGTCACTTCAAAGAACATATCATAGCGCCATTTGAAATCGTATTAATCACATTTTCTGGGTAGAGCTCAATGATCAGGTAATAAGAAATAGGTGCAATGGTTTTACATAGCATTTCTTCTGACCGGCTGGATCTGTATGAATACCGGTAAATAC